TTCAAGCTTTTAGGGCTTTAAAGATGGCAGCCAGTTTTGAATAATTAGGAGAAAATTGTTAAAATTTAGGAGAAAATTGTTAAAATTGCAATTGTTACAGTAAAAGCATCACATGAGCACAAACTTTGTCCCTGTTAAGACTGTAACATCGTGGCCAGGTAGGACCATACTAGAAATGAGTGGAGCAGTTTTGTCACCTGGAAAAAGCAAGATATCTACTTGACAAGTTAACACAGGTGGGAAAATGGTCTGCCAAAGTTTAACAGAACTGGGACCAGTAAAAGCACATTCACAAAAGTCATGTCTTTAACAGAACAGAGAAGCACAGATATTTATTCCTCAGCTTCCTCAGGGCTTCTTTCATTTCATGGTTCTTCTAAGTGTAAATGATGGGGTTCAGAGCAGGTGTGACCACTGTGTAGAAGACAGAGACCACCTTGTCTGCTCTGGAACTAACAAATAGAAAAGAAGCAATAGACTGTGGTGAGTATTTCCAGTGATCAATTGATGGCAGGCTGAAGGGCACTGACAAGATTCTATCTTCAGAGTGAGAAGAGAGTTTGTGTGTTGTTATAACTCTGCTCATAATTCCTGCCATGAGCTTTCATGAGGCATAAACCCCTCAGCCAGGTCTGAACAGCCACTCAGAATTTCACCAAGCCAACCAAAGCTAGTCCTCCTCAAGAAAGCATATCAGTAATTTCCACCCAAAGCTGAGCAAAAGGCATTAGCCTCAGAGGCAGACTGTTGTCCTTCCTTTTCCCACTTCTCCCACTTCTTCTCCCTTCAAAAGCTGAAAGGCCTTTCCTATCTTTCTGGAAAGAATGGGCTTGGCATAGGCTCAGGGGTGATCGCTTCCATAAGCTGCCTTCCACAGGATCAGCTCCATGGCAGTAGGGTAGCCCTCTGTGCGTCTGCCATCAGGCTGAAACCAGTTGAGAGGGACCCTACTAGGCCTTTCCAGGTATTCAAGCAGCGTTATTTTCCCCAGCCCTGCCCCAACTCCTCGTGAGCTTCCACTGCTGAGCAGGCATTCAGACCAAAGTCTCTTGAGTCTAGGTCTCTTACTCTGTCCACTCTTCCAGACGGGATAGCCCATTTGCTGTCTTCCAGCTCCCTCTCTTCAAGCTCCAGACACTGGAGAAATAAATTGTATTATTTGTACAAAGTTCTGCTCTACTCATGAGATAACAGTTCAGCTCGCACCCTGATCATGCAACCTATCTTCGATTAAGCCACATCTTATACAGTGGGACATGTTCAAAGTAAATAATCATAATAATGGCATGCTATCAAGTCAATTCCAACTGATGCAGACACTTTTAAGGGTTTTGTAAATAGAGAGTACTCCGAGGTAATTCACCATTCTCTTCTGGAACCACCCAAGGTGCAGCCTATACAGGCTGGCTTTTCTCCTGGAAAGCATAGATGGCAATTGAATGACAGACTGTAGCCAAGTACTCAAACCATTCAGCTAAATTCTCATGCCATAACAATTGAGTGCTTTAAGGGTGATTAGGAAACTGAATGGCAGCCTTTCCTAACTAAATTCCACTGTATTTATTGCCTTTTCCTACTTATCTAACCAGTCACAGTGTTCTTTCTTAACTCAATTGTAATTCTGAACTTCACCACCGTTTCCCCCATTAATACCCAGGATAATATTGGTGCAGGAGTAATTAATCGTTCATTCTTCATGACAAATAAAAAGACACCTGTTATCAGGTTTAGCATTTTCTTCTTGATCAGGATCTAACTGTCCTTTTCTTCTTGCATTTAAAGGTTCTGTTGGAATCGTTCCCAAGAACAAAGCTAAGGGAGTTGATTTTTGTGGAGTAGGCAGGTATTATTACATCATCCGCTCTGACGTAGGCCTGTACATGAGATCAACTAATTTCAAAGCTCCCCCTTGTGGAAAGTTGCTCCACCTTCTTCTCGTGAGAATATTTTATTTTCATACAGCAAAATAGCGATACACAGATCAGACTGTCGAACTTGTAAAACAGATCAGATAGGAAGTCCGATCTGGAACGGAATGATTAAAAAAAATTCCATTTCTGTCATCATTCTGGGTGCAGATTGATTGCTTTTGCCATTCTACACTGAAACTTTTAGTTTTGCCTTGGGAACATCTCAACATTTTCCCTTCTGCATCTCCCATGGGGGGTTGGAGATCTAAGCTTTACTTCTAATGATCCCCTTTGGAACATACATGCAAGTGGGTTGTCTATGGTGCTCTCTTGGGACCCGCCTGATCCAAGAACTTGGAAGCCCTTTTAGATGCTTGCCTTTCTTTAAAATCAAAGTGTGTGTTTCAGAGAAGCTGTCCTGCTGGACACAGGGATGACTTTGGAGGGTGGAAAGAGGTGGCTTTTCCTCCAGGACGTTTTGCAGCTGGTAGGTGTTAACGAAGGCTTTGCTGCTCCATGGTAGAACGGGTTTTGCAACCGATCCTCTCTGTTCCCAATATTTGAAAAGTTTTCTTGTAGCATCTTTGGTTTAATACCAGTGGAATCTTTTCATGAAGAATAAGAAAGAGAAAAATGTTGGTAAAGTGTGGGTATTGCATGAGTAAAGAAAGAGTAAATCATGTATGACCAAAGATGGATAATAGATATTCTGTACTGAAGGGACAGTACAGAATATCTATTAACTTCCTAACTGTTAGAGCAGTACGACAGTGGAACCCGTTACCTCGTGGGTTGGTGAGTGCTCCAACACTGGAGGCATTGAAGAAAAACTTAGATCATCACCTGGCAGATAGGCTTTGATTGTATTCGTGCATCAAGCAGGGGGTTGGACTTGATGGCCTTGTAGGCTCCTTCCAAATTCACTTTCTATGATTCTATGATTCTATGACTGAAGAACATTCCCAATGTATCTCTCCCCATGACATCTGGGGCCCTGTTGTATTACAGCATTAAGGGGTAGAGTGGAACAACAAGGGGAGAAATGGGTTACAGGTATACTATGCAAGCCTTACAAGCCTGAAGCCATGGCCATGAGAGTAAATGTGCCAATCAGTTTTGGAAGAGGAGGGGGCGGTAGCATCAACAAGTGAAAAAAGGCATCAGGCACAGCCATGGAGAACAAGTCTACTGATGTCAGCCAATGTCAGCTTGATTTGTTTATTGTATTTTCTGCATGTCTGGTGTATGGAAGTGTCTGTGTATTTATTCATCATTTTTGTTGTCATCGTCATCACCCTCTCCTCTCATGTTCAGTATAGTTCCCTTCTGTTGACTGAAGTCCACCTCAATCAGATGCACCTACTGAATTATCAGGTGTATGGCTTCAAGTTGTCCTGTGCCATGAGGCTCCTTTATATCCTAATGAATGTCTTTTTAACATTGAAGTGGAATTTTGGTCCACAGTCTAATGGGAAAGCTGAAGTCAAAAGACTGGAGCCCGTCTCCTATAAGGAGAAGTTAAACATTTGGGGCTCCTTAGCATAGAAAGGGAAAAGAAGGCAAAGAATGAGAATGGTAGAGGCATATGTATTGTGTGGAGAAACCGAATGGGAAAAATTGTTCCTTTCTGTCTCAGAATTCTAGAATTCAGGGTCATGCCATGAATGGAATTCATGGAAGTTTTGTCAAAATGAAGAACTTCATTGCAGTGTATGTAGCTGAAGTTCCTATGGAGTTTGTTGCAAAAAAAGAGGGGGTGAACTTGGCCACCAACTTCAGTGGATGTGAAGAAACATCAACTCTTCCATTTGTAGTAAAGTTTAGTCATGTATTATTGAGGAACACCTGGACCTACATACCTCTTTAGGTGTAGGATATGTTTCTAGTCTCCGATTCAGGAGCTGTTTCTAAAATCCAGCCCACAGCCAGATGGTTCTGACAAGCCCATGGATCAGGCACGGAGGTGATGGTCTCCTCCTGCTGTTTCTTTCTGGCATTTTCTGTGCTGAGGTATAAGGCTGTGGGCATGGAAGTTCCTTTGAGATATAATATGGTTAATTGTCACTGCCTGTCCTTCATGAAATTCCACAGCCATCTTCTCAAAATCTATCTGACCTGGTGGCAAGGTGTCACCCCCTGGGCTCATGAGTTGTGTAAACTTTTAAAACTGGCAGTGCAAAAGTAGTGGATTAAGAAACAATGGAGTTAATTACATATCATGGACAGGTAGCCTGAAGAAGCATCTAAAGCATTTGCCTGTATTTCATTCAACCTAGCTGCATGTCCTTCTTTTCCAGTCTGTCATCAACGAACATCCATCTAGTGAGTTTCAAGTACATCTCCAACAGGATGTAATTCCATGATCTATGCTACTGTTAAACAGTGTTATTCTCCCCCATCATATGTTTTTGTGCTTTCTCCAGTTCTCATCTACACCGTGTCTAACAAAAGGAGAGAAAGCTGTGAGGTTTTATGCAAAGGCACTTCCACCTTTTTTGAACAGGGTTTTCCAGGTGGCTGAGAACTCCCAGAAGCTGGATTCCGAAGGGGCAGAGGAACTAGAGACCAAATTGCTAACATGCTCTGGATTATGGAGAAAGCCAGAGAGTTCCAGAAAAATATCTACTTCTGCTTCATTGACTATGCAAAAGCCTTTGACTGTGTGGACCACAGCAAACTAAGGCAAGTTCTTAAAGAAATGAAAGTGCCTGACTACCTTATCTATCTCCTGAGAAATCTATATGTGTGACAGGAAGCAACAGTTAGAGAGCTCTGTAGGCATTATCAACTCATTATTCCTGAATTGGGTGGAGCACACTAGGCTCTTATAACAAAGAAAGCTATCTTTTGTCACATCTGGAGACTTTGCCTTAGATCAGCGTTTTTCTTGGAGTCTACAGCTCTGTGTGTGAGAAATACCATCTGTACCATCTGGCCAGCTGTATTTAGGGATACCCGAAGCCTCATTTTTTGCCTATGCTGCAAGTATGCTACAACCATCATCCCAGTCAGCTTATGGCACCCTCTTCTCTTTCCATCTGTCTCATATCTTTATCTCTTGCAGTATCTGCCAGTGAGACCAGAACTGACCTGATGGAAGAGGACAACAATACCATCGTGACTGAATTTGTCTTTCTCGGACTGGCCACAAGTCTAGAACTGAAGCTCCTCTTTTTTGCAATTTTCTTGGCAATATATGGAGCAACTATGGTGGGCAATCTCTTGATTGTAGGCCTGGTAGCTTATGAGCCTCTTCTTCATGTGCCCATGTACTTTTTTTTAGGAAATCTCTCTTTCCTAGACTTCTGCTATTCCTCTGTCACTGCTCCTAAAATGTTGGTTGGCTTCCTATCGAGAGCCAACACCATCAGTTATACGGGCTGCATTTCCCAGATATTCTTCTTCCACTTCATTGGTGGTATCAAGATTTTTCTTCTCGTCATCATGGCCTATGACCGCTACCTTGCCATCTTCTACCCTTTGCGCTATATGACCATAATGAACAGGACTGTGTGTGCAGGGGTTGTGGGGGCCTCCTGGGTTGGTGGCTTGGTCCACTCCATAGTCCAAGTAGCTATCATTGTTCAGCTACCCTTCTGTGGACCCAGCGTCCTCGATAACTTCTACTGTGACGTTCCCCAGGTGGTCAAACTGGCTTGCACTAACACCTTTTTGGTGGAGTTACTCATGGTCTCCAACAGCGGGCTGGTGACTCTGATGTGTTTTGTTGTTCTGCTCATGTCATACTCTTTGCTCCTGGCCAAACTCAGGGCAGACTCTGCATCAGGATACAACAAAGCCATTTCCACATGTGCCTCACACATCACTGTGGTGACCTTGGTATTTGGGCCTTGCATCTACATTTACCTCCGTCCCTTCCGCAGCTTCCCTATGGACAAAGCCGTCTCTGTTCTCTACACCGTCGTCACTCCCGTCCTCAACCCTTTCATTTACACTCTGAGGAACAGAGATTTCAAAATGGCCTTGGAAAAGCTCATGAGACGGAAGATGAAATCAACTCCCTGAGACGGAGCAATATCACCAAGTCTTGTTCATAATACTTACCGTCATTCAAGAATTTAATTCACACATTCTGTAATAAATAATAAAGCATAATCTATTGGTCCATTTAGTGCGCTTGATTGCCTGCTGTTGCTCTAGATTTTTATCACCACATCGTCACAGCAACAAATTTGTTGCGTTGCGACTGGCTTCTTATGAAACCGTTTCAGAGTCAATTTCATAGGAATGAGCTGCTAATCAGAAATGTGGAGAGTAGTTTTATGTTTATTTTACTTTGTTTCATTTCTGTTCTTGGTGGTTCTCCAAGTCTTTGCCAAGTCATTCCCTGTACCAGCAAGATTTGCTGGGTTCATGCCAAAATGACACCCTGTCGATGGTCTTATTCTTCCTCTGTGAGTGAGTGTATGTGTGTCTGTGTTGGCCTCTTCTCTTGTGCAAGAAAGGTCCAAATTATGTCCAGTTAAACAGCTTTTCCAGGAAAGTTTGCACAAGAAAGGTGCCATTTCTGCATCTATTACAGTTTTTTTCTGTGGGATGGTGGTGGGACATGATCGTGAAACATCTGAGGAATCCCTCAAGATTCCCCATGGGATTATTGGGGGGGGGGCAATCCTCTCACAGAGAAATCTCATTGAAATGAGAAAAGAGAGATTCTCCTTGCCGCTTACCCATCAATTTCTTGCTAGGAGAGAGAAGGGCTGCAGGACTCCCACCCTAGGTCACGTAAGAGTGTAGGGAAAACGTATGTCCTCTGGAATCCTTTCCCAAGGTCACTTCGGTGACAGTCATTCATTCAAAGGGAGAGCCAAGGTCTTACAGTTGCCTATCCTTAGTTACCTCATGGATAGCAGATTAAGAAGGAACATAGCCGCCTAGAGTGGTCGAAATGACTAGATAGGCGGGGTATAAATACAATAAATAATAATAATAATAACATTGATCGACTGGTCATAGAATCATAGAATCATGTAGTTGGAAGGGGTCTATAAGGCCATTGAGTCCAACCCCTTGTTTAGTGCAGGTATAGATATCAAGGGATATCTGCCAAATTTCCAAATTTCTCTTGAATGCCTCCAGTGTCGGAATGCTCACCACCTACCAAGGTCATTGGTTCCCTTGTCGTACTGCTCTAACAGTGAGGAAGATTTTCCTGATATTCATCTGAAATCTCACTTCCTGTAGCTTGAGCCTATTATTACCTGTCCTACACTCTGGGGTGACTGAGAACAGATCCTGCCCCTCCTCTGTATGACAGCCCTTCAAGTCTTTGAAAAGCGCTATTGTATTTCCCTTCTGTCTGGACTAAACATGCCCAGTTTTTTCTTATAGTCACAGACCTCCTCATTATAGCAAGGGTGGAGAACATTTAACTCTTAGTTGCGTCAGTCTTCTATCGCCAGCAGTCCTAGACACCACTATTCATGGGAAAGGGTTAAAGAAGATGTAGTCAGAAAGATCAGGGGGTTCTGAAAGATCTGGAGGTCCACTTCTATTTAAAGAAGGGGGTAAGCCAATACTTTTCTTTCCCTGCTTCTGAGCTCCCCCTTGTGGAAAGCTGCTCCACCTTCTTCCCATGAGAATATTTTATTTTCATACAGCAAAATAGCCATCCACAGATCAGACTGTCAAACTTGTAAAACAGATCAGACAGGAAGTCCGATCTGGACAGGCATGGGATACACAGATCAGACTGTCGAACTTGTAAAACAGATCAGATAGGAAGTCCGATCTGGAACGGAATGATTAAAAAAAATTCCATTTCTGTCATCATTCTGGGTGCAGATTGATTGCTTTTGCCATTCTACACTGAAACTTTTAGTTTTGCCTTGGGCCATTCTTCACTGCAACTTTTAGTTTTGCCTTGGGAACGTCTCAACATTTTCCCTTCTGCATCTCCCACTGGGGGGGGATCTAAGCTTTACTTCTAATGGTCCCCATTGGGACATACATGCAAGCGGGTTGTCTATGGTGCTCTCTTGGGGCCCGCCTGATCCAAGAACTTGGAAGCCCTTTTAGATGCTTGCCTTTCTTTAAAATCAAAGTGTGTGTTTCAGAGAAGCTGTCCTGCTGGACACAGGGATGACTTTGGAGGGTGGAAAGAGGTGGCTTTTCCTCCAGGACGTTTTGCAGCTGGTAGGTGTTAACGAAGGCTTTGCTGCTCCATGGTAGAACGGGTTTTGCAACCGATCCTCTCTGTTCCCAATATTTGAAAAGTTTTCTTGTAGCATCTTTGGTTTAATACCAGTGGAATCTTTTCATGAAGAATAAGAAAGAGAAAAATGTTGGTAAAGTGTGGGTATTGCATGAGTAAAGAAAGAGTAAATCATGTATGACCAAAGATGGATAACAGATATTCTGTACTGAAGGGACAGTACAGAATATCTATTAACTTCCTAACTGTTAGAGCAGTACGACAGTGGAACCCGTTACCTCGTGGGTTGGTGAGTGCTCCAACACTGGAGGCATTGAAGAAAAACTTAGATCATCACCTGGCAGATAGGCTTTGATTGTATTCGTGCATCAAGCAGGGGGTTGGACTTGATGGCCTTGTAGGCTCCTTCCAAATTCACTTTCTATGATTCTATGATTCTATGACTGAAGAACATTCCCAATGTATCTCTCCCCATGACATCTGGGGCCCTGTTGTATTACAGCATTAAGGGGTAGAGTGGAACAACAAGGGGAGAAATGGGTTACAGGTATACTATGCAAGCCTTACAAGCCTGAAGCCATGGCCGTGAGAGTAAATGTGCCAATCAGTTTTGGAAGAGGAGGAGGCGGTAGCATCAACGAGTGAAAACGGCATTGGGCGCAACCATGGAGAACAGGTCTACCGACAACTGAAGAAGAAGAAAAGTACTATCAGATTTATTAAGACATTGTGCCGATGTCAGCTTGATTTCTATATTGTATTTTCTGCATGTCTGGTGTATGGAAGTGTCTGTCTATTCATTCATCATTTTTGTCATCATTGTCATCACCCTCTCCTCTCATGTTCAGTATAGTTCCCATCTGTGAACTGAAGTCCACCTCAATCAGATGCACCTACTAAATTAACAGGTGAATGGTGAAATATGGTCCATTCTATGAATGTTCATGCCATAGTACATTTTAAGATCCCCAATGATTCTTTTTCTTTTCTGTTGCAATGGACAGACTCTCTAGAATGCGTAGTAATGATAGCAAAATTCTTCCAATGGAACGGAAGCATGCTTATCTCTTGTAGGAAAAACCAGGATTCTTTGGGGGACTAATGACTAATTTGGTATTAGCCTTTGTGTGCTAAACCCTACGTCTTGTATGCATCTGAAGCAGTGGACTGTCATTCACTAAAAAATAATAATAATGTGTTGTCAAGTCAATTGCGACTTACGACAACCCCTTTTCAGTTACAGAATTTGTTTACCGTTCTCTTCTTCTGGGGACATCCTGGGAACGTGCAGCTGGTCCAAGGCTACACAGGCTGGCTCCACTCACAGTAGGGAATCCACAGCCAGATATCTAAAACACCAAGCTAACTAGCTATTGTATACTAAATAAAACCGGTGGTGTCTGTACAATCCCATGGGGCTCCTTTATATCTGAACAAATGTCTTTTTAACATTGAAGTGGAATTTTTGTCCAATGTCTAATGGGAAAATTGAAATCAAAAGACCGGAGCCCGTCTCCTATAGGGAGAAGTTAAACATTTCGGGCTCCTTAGAATAGAAGGGAAAAAGAAGGCAAAGAAGAATGATAGAGTCATATGTGCTGTGTGGGGATACCAATTGGGGAAAATTGTTCCTTTCTGTCTCAGAATCCTAGAATTCAGGGTCATCCCATGAATGGAAATCGTGGAAGGTTTGTCAAAATGAAGAACTTCATTGCGGTGTATGTAGCTGAGATTCCTATGGAGTTTGCTGCAAAAAAAGAGGGGGTGATCTTGGCCACCAGCTTCAGTGGATATGGAGAAACATCAACTCTTCCATCTAAAGTAAAGTTTAGGTAAAGGTAAAGCTTCCCCTTGACATTTAGTCTAGTCATGTCCAACTCTATGCTGCGGGGCTCATCCCCGTCTCCAAGCCATAGAGCCAGCATTTGTCCGTAGACAGTTTCCGTGGTCACATGGCCAGCGCAACTAGACACGGAACACTGTTACCTTCCCACCGAGGTGGTACCTATTTATTGGCTTGCATTTTTACATGCTTTCGAATGGCTAGGTTGGCAGGAGCTGGGATAAGCGATGGGAGCTTGCTCCGTCGCCTCAACTTGATCTTACGACGGCTGGTCTTCTGACCTTGCAGCACAGAGGCTTCTGCGGTTTAACCCACAGCACCACCATGTCCCTTAAAGTACAGTTAAGTAAAGTTTAGTAATGGATTTTTGAAGAACACTGGACCTATGTAATCCTTAGATGTAGGATATGTTTCTATTCTCAGATTCAGGACCTGTTTCTAAAATCTTGCCCCCAGCCAGATGGTTCTGACAAGCCCATGGATCAGGCACGGAGGTGATGATCTCCTCCTGCTGTTTCTTTCTGGCATTTTCTGTGTTGTGGTATAAGGCTATGGGCATGGATGTTCCTTTGAGATATAATATAGTTAACTGCCACTGCCTGTCCTATTCTTCATGAAATTCCACAGCCATCTTCTCAAAATCTATCTGACCTGGTGGCAAGGTGTCACCCCCTGGGCTCATGAGTTGTGTAAACTTTTAAAACTGGCAGTGCAAAAGTAGTGGATTAAGAAACAATGGAGTTAATTACCTCTCATGGACAGGTAGCCTGAGGAAGCATCTAAAGCATTTGCCCGTATTTCATTCAACCTAACTGCATGTCCTTCTTTTCCAGTCTGTCATCAACGAACATCCATCTAATCATTTTCAAGTACATCTCCAACAGGATGTAATTCCATGATCTATGCTACTGTTAAACAGTATCTAGAGTGTTACTTTCCTCCATCGTATGTTTTTCTGCTTTCTCCAGTCCTCATCTTGTCTAAGAAAAGGAGAGAAAGCTGCGAGGTTCTATGCAAAGGGACTTCCACCTTTTTTGAACGGCACCTCCAAATATCCTGAAAACCAACAAACGAACTCACAGCAATGAAATGAGGAGAAAAGCTTAACCTAATCAGCATCCAGAAATAGGAAAGTCAAAGATCATTCAAATTTTGGAGGCTGTACCTTTGCCAGGAAACTGAGGTTAGACATCTAAGCTCCCTGACCTTCCTTTTCTTCCCCTTTCTGCTCATTCCATCTCTGTTTTGTGTGTCAGTAATAGAGGAGGAATGAGCCCAATAGATAAATGCATGAGTAGACTGGCTAACCTCATATAGTATCACCTCCTGCCCTTCCCATTCAGCTGCTGGCAACCATGATTAATTTCTTATGCCTTTTTCAACCTCTTTATCTACTCTCTTCTTTTCTTATCCAGGTGCAAGCTACTAACATTTTGCCCCCAAAATGGAAGATGTCACAGGAATGACTAAAGTTATGTTGGCAGAAGCACCGTCCACATACTCTCACAGTGTGAGGAACAGCACCAGGGTGACTGAGTTCATTCTGACAGGGCTATCCCATAAGCGTGAAATCCAGCTTTTCCTCTTTGCCCTCTTCCTCATTTTCTACATGATTGTCCTGCCAAGCAACATCTTGATTATCATCACAATCCGGGGTGACCCACATCTCAGCTCACCTATGTACTTCTTGTTAGCCAACCTGGCTTTCTTAGACATCTGGTATTCCTCCATCACCGCCCCCAAGATGCTGGTTGACTTCTTCGCTGAGCGCAAGATCATTTCCTTTGGGGGCTGCATTGCGCAGCTCTTCTTCCTCCATTTTGTGGGCGCCTCCGAGATGTTTCTGCTCACCGCCATGGCCTATGATCGGTATGTTGCCATCTGCCGACCCCTTCGCTACACCACCATGATGAGTCGGCAGTTGTGCATCATCCTGGTGATAGCTTCTTGGACTGGGGGCTTTGTCCACTCCATCATCCAAGTTGCGCTGATCCTCCATCTCCCATTCTGTGGCCCCAACGAACTGGACAACTACTTCTGCGATATCACCCAGGTATTGAGGATTACATGTGCCAACTCCTTTGCTGAGGAGATGGTGATGATCTTCAGCAGTGGCCTCATCTCTGTGGTCTGCTTCATTGCCCTCTTGGTTTCCTACGCCTTCCTGCTGACCATGTTGAAGAAGACCCCTGGTGAGTCCACCAGCAAAGCTTTTTCCACCTGCTATACCCACATTACCATCGTCGTTTTCATGTTTGGTCCTGCCATTTACATCTACGCCCGACCCTTTGATGAATACGCACCAGACAAAATCGTCTCTGTCTTCCACACTATCATCTTTCCCCTCCTCAACCCCATGATCTACACCCTTAGGAATAAGGAAATCACGACTGCCATGAAGAAGGTGGTCAACAGGCGCCTCCTTTGCAAGACAAACTGAGATGGAAAGAACAAGAATGGTCTTGATTTGTTCCTACATGATTGAGGGTGAGCCGTATGGTCAGTTTTAATGGGGGGGGGGATACAAGGCCATCATCCTATTCTTTAAAACCAGAGCCCTTTTTCCTGCTTTGTTTGTTTCATTTCTGTTCTGCTCTTCACTCACCCAAACCCATAACTGTTCTACTTCTGGCATTTTCTTACACACACACACACACAAAGGCTAGAATTGAGACATAGCCACAGAAGCACTACGTTGTTACCTCAATGCAGAATCCTTTGATTGACACCCTGAGAAACAAAGAGGTGAAGATGGCCATCAGGAGGTTGAGAAGCAAGAACGTTACAGTATTTTGAACGGGAGGGTCAAGGGTTGAGGGGCTTTGAGTGCCAACAGTCACTCTAGAAAGGAATTCAGCTTCCACAAGCCAACTGAAATAAAGTGATCACATTGAGTATAACACTCAAGGGACATTTTACCACATGTGGCGGATATGTAAAGAAGCACAAAAATACTGGATCAAAGTCAACCAGATACTGCAAGAGATATTAATTGAGTATAGCACTTATTTTATTCTGAACCACATTCCACACACTCTTTCCTTTTGCCATTAGAGTTTTTTGCTCTGGAATTTGTTATGTCTAATTATCACCGCCGTCATCGTCTTAGAACTGCAGAGCTGAAAGGGAACCTATGGGTCATCAAGTCCAACCCTATCGAGGAGGCCCACTGGAGAATCGAGCTCCCAACCTCCAGTTTCGCAGCCAGATATGTAAACTACGGAGCTATCCAGCAGTTATGCTATGGATTGAATCCACTTTCGTCTATCTTAGTTTTAGAGAGTCTTCTTCTTAGTAAATGTAGAATCAGCTCTGAAACTGAAAAGGCCACTGTTTTTCACCACTGCTCCCATGTAGCTGTGCAGAAAAGGGGAATTCTATGATGCATGGTCAAAAAGAAAGTAACTTATTAAAACTGTCATCCAGCCCTCACAAGAAATGTAACTTAGAAGAGATTATTTAGAATTCCGGTATTATGGGGGGAAATACCAATTTGTAATGTGACCATTCAAATCCAACCTCTCTAAATGTACCTTAAAACTGTCATCCAGCCCTCACAAGAAATGTAAGAAATGTAGGAGTACATCCATAGTGTAAAATTCAGTGAAGCCCATACAAACATGAATGAGGTGGGTGAGTCTATAGACAGATAGGGCCCCTTCTGAATGCAAGGGCGGGGAAGGAGGGGAGTCAGTCTAGCTAATGCACCCCCTTTGGGACCCATTCTAACCAACTCCATGACATTATTTGTAAAGTTCTGGATTTCCATTATAAAAAAACCACACACACCATGTTGTGGTGGGAAAGTAAGTACAGCCACCTAATTGTGTGACCTATTCAACTCAAAGCCCATGGAAAGCTGGTATGGAGATATATTATATCTATATCTATATCAATCAATCAATCATTGCAAGTCTTTCTTTTTACAACACAGCTCCATGAAATGAGTAGCAGAGTATAACAACCATAACAGGTCTTTTAAGGTAAGTAAGATATTTAAGGAGTGGTTTTACCAGTTCCATAATCCCAGTGAGCTTCCGTGGCTGAGCAGGGATTTAAAAAAAAAGCACGCACACACATACAAACACACACACAAGCACACCAAGAGGGTTGTTAAGAGGCTACTTGTCTCTTCTTTTAGGCCAGCTGCACAGTTTTCCGAATTATCTATTCCTCCTATTCTTAATTCAAATTGATAACTACTTTCTTAACCTCACAAAAGCTTAATGGGGTACAGAGGATCCATTGTCATGCTGCTCCACTCTTGGGGTGAAAATGGCTTTTTGTTCTGCACACACACAAAAATACTCATGATTCTGCCCATTTGTCCAAAGTCGGTGCACATGCTTATTTATTTATTTATTTATTTATTGATTGATTGATTGATTGATTGATTGATTGATTGATTGATTGATTTGATTTGATTTGATTTGATTTGATTTGATTTGATTTGATTTGATTTGATTT